GTGTGTGTGTGTGTGTGTGTGTGTGTGTGTGTGTGTGTGTGTGTGCGTGCATGCAGGACCGAAGCAGCAGCCGGATGGAGAGGGGGGGTTGCTCCCTCACCCCGGGGGAGGGGGGTTCAATGTCTGCCCAGGGTTAAAAACAAGGATGTCCGAACTGCAGGTCACTGGGAAACAGCTGCTCTTGGGGGCACGAAGGAGACATCAATTGGGGGGGGCATGGAGGGGGAAAGGATGGTCTATTCCCCCTGCCCCCTTCCAAAGAAGCTGTCTTTGCTCTTGAACCGGGGAGGCGGCTACTCCACGTGGCCTCCTTTCCTCTCCCTTGAGTTCAGTGGGGCTGGAGAGACTCAGGTGAGCTGCTGAGGCCTTTGCCCCGCTGAGCCTACCAGGGTACTCTGATGCCAACCAGGATGCCGCCCTCCAGCCTTAGCCAGGACAGCCAGGCTGGGTGGGGCACCCTGTGCCTCTGAGCCACCTGTTTGTGACACCCCCCAAAATTAGGCCAAAGCACCGAATCTGAGATGCCCCCCCCCATCGAATGTGCGTTCTCCCTGCAACCCTCAGACCAGGAGGCGCCCGGCGCCCAGCTGCGCTTTCGCCCTGGAAAGGGCCGTTTCTTTGGCACCGGCTGCTGCCCACTTCTCCGACTTAGAGGAGGTGCCTTGGGCAGAGCCGCGGAGGGCAGAGGGAGGGGCTTTCCTCCATGCTGGGCCTGTCCTGAGGGCTCTGGTGGAGAGGCCCAGCGTTGCCAGAGACACGCCCCTGTGCCCGCACTTCGGGGCCCCGGTTTCTCTCTCCGTCCAGGAGGCAAAGGGGCTGCCCAGGGCCACCCACCCCAGTTCAAGAGGCGGCAGAGCAGGCCGGGGGGGGCTTCTTTACCCAGAAGGAGACTCCCCCCCCCTTGCTTAATGGGCGGAGTCCCACCAGCGGAGCCCTGGCAGGTGATGGGCAGAGGCTCTCCCTCCCTTCCCCACCTGGAGCCCTCCCGGGGTCAGCCTGCCTGTCGGAAGCCAAGTGGCTAGTCCTCTGGAAGGCCTGGCCCTCCCTCTGCCTGTGGTACCCGGAGCACGGTGGCCTCTGCCTGAGACGCTCCCTGCCTCCGTTGCCAATTGCCCTGCTTGGCTGGAGGCTCCCGGCCAGAGATGCCTGGGAGGGCCAAGGCGCAGAAGGAGCGACTCCCTGACCCCCCCCGCCCCCCCCCCGCTCACACACACTTACCTAACTGCCCCCTGTAACTCAAGAGCTCCCAGGCATCTGGCGCCCCCCCGCCCCTCTCTAATTTCCCTGCCATCCGCACAAGCGGGTCTTGATTTACCTCCGAGTCATCTCCTCTTATTTTTAGCCACGCCGTCTTGCCCTGCCCCGCATGCCTCCTTCACGGCCCCACTTCCTTAATATGGCGATAAGGAGATGCCCTCCAATGCAGGCCGGGGGGGTGGGGGGGGAGGGGAGAAAACTGGAGGGACCCATTGCGGGGGGGGAGGGAGCCTGGGCCCCGGCAGCAAAGGGGCCAGTGGGCAAAGGGGATCTGTGGGGGTCTTTGGGGGGGCTGGCACTCCCCATCGGGTACCCTGCTCCCGACCTTCTCCCCATTGACATATATAGACAGGAGCAAGAGGTGGCCGGCTGGGGACGGTGCCAAATATCTGTGGATAAGACGGCCCTCCAGCTCCAGAGCCCTCCCCCCCGCCCGAGGGTCTTTTATGCGCTGCCTGGAGCTTTGCTCCTCCGCCTTTGCAGCTCCTCACCCCTCCGTGCGGTGGTCACCCTCCTCGGCCAGTCCCGGGCACCTGCCTGTGTCAGCAAAGAGCCGCCGGCCCAGCCAGCCCCCTGTACCTGACCGGGAGCCACGAGAGGGAGGAAGGGAAGGCAGGAAGGCAGGGAAGCCCAGGGCAGCCGCCTCTCCCTCGCTCGTCTTGGGGAAGGACCCCCGGAGCCCCTTCGCGGCAGGATGAAGTGGCTCAGCCTGAGCTTGGCCGCCCTGCTGCTGGCCTTGGCCGGCCCCATGGCCCGTGGCGAGGAGGGGCTGGATTTCCCCGAGTACGATGGCATCGACCGGGTCATCGACGTCAACATGAAGAACTACAAGGCCGTCCTGAAGAAGTACGAGGTGCTGGCGCTGCTCTACCACGAGCCGGTGGGGGAGGACAAGGCTTCGCAGAGGCAGTTTGAGCTGGAGGAGCTGATCCTGGAGGTAGGGGCCGGGGCCCATCAGGCGGTGGGAGGGGCTCTGCCGTGCTGGGGGCCCACATCAGGCCGGCCGAGGAGGCAGAGCACAGGGGCCCTGGGGGCCCTGGGGGCCGGGGGAGGGGCGAGGGATGGACTTGTCACCACTTACTGTAGCGGTCTAGCAGTCGGGACGTGGGACGGGGAAAGGGCCACTTTAGCTCCCTCCCTTAAACAGGGGTGCACAGGAGGAGGGGTCTCTAACCGGCCGGGTAGGAGGCGGCATGTTGGCCCTTCTCGCAGCCGGGGCCAGGGGCATCAAGGGAGGCGGGGGTCTGCCCCACTCCCAGAGCTCTCCCCTCGCTCTTCCAGAGAGCGCTGGAGACGTGGGACGTCACCGGGCTAAATTTGGAGCCCCTGGAGGGGAGAGGCGGCCAGGCCCACTTCCTTGGGAATGTTGCGCAGGGGGGGGGAGCCAG